GCCTCGGAGCAAGGGTATCCCCAGCTTCTGGGCAACGGCGCAGCCCGCCAGGGTGGCGAAGTCTGTCATAACCTCGGTGTTGATTTAGGGTTTAGGGTTTAGGGGTTTAGGGTTTAGGGGTTTAGGTTTAGGGTTTCGGGTTCAGGGTTTCGGGTTTAGGGTTCCTTTTAAGGGTACGTACTATAGGGACCTATCATGGCATTCCCTTTAAGGGCTCGTTAAGGAATTAAGGACTCCTTTTGGTTTAGGGATCCTTGAAGTGAATCTGTAAGGGTTTGGAGTTTCGGTTTTTGGGCTGCCTATTGTAGTATAGCTATAATACGGAACCCTGAAGGAATAGTATTGGTACTCATTTAGGCTTCTGTAGTATATCCGAAAACCGCAGAACACCATCGCTCTCAAGGAGCCCCACTTGGACTGAAGTAGGCCGGGGTATATGGTGTTTCTACTCTTGTTGTTGAAAGGGGACCGTAAATTTCTATACAAAAGGAATGCTCAATTCTACAGTATTTCCGGAGCTCCCCTTTTTTGTGGAATTTAGAGTCCAAGCTGTTGAGCTTGCGGGCTAACAGACCCCCAACCCCACCGACCGCTCCCCCCTGCCCTGCCCCAACCAACTCCCCCTCCCCCTTCTCCCCTCCCCCCCAACTTCTAGATTCCTAGAACCCATCCTGATAAGGACCCTTGTGGCCCTTAACCCTCAACCCTGAACCCTAAACCCTAAACCCTAAACCCTAAACCCTAAACCCTACACTACACCTTAAGCCCTGCCCTGAATAACCCGACATCGCTGAGTCGACGGCTGTGCGAAGTGCCCGCGGACAGCCACCACGCGCGCCTGGTTCACGGGTTTGTTCGAGACAAGTGCTTTCATGGGGTTTAGGGTTTAGGGTTTAGCGTCTAGGGAGGTCTTCCTACGGGTTTTACACGGGCTTTTCAAGGCCGTAAGGCTGCGAGAGATAACGTGGAGCCCCTCATCAATTAACGAAGGTTCTAATCAAATATAATCGGGATCCGAGTATCAGGGCCTTTAAAGCTACAAGTAGGGTGTCTAATTATTCAGCGGTCCACATCTACATTAGATGATAAACCCGGAACCCTGAACCAAGATGTTAAATCTCTAAACCCTAAACCCTAAACCCTAAACCCTAAACCGAATGCTGACCCTGAACCAAAGTATCAAACGGGACTTTTCCACTTAGGGACCCGCACACCCTCCATGAACAAAGACCTCCATCTGTTTGGGATGTGTCCGAAAATAAGGGACCTTAATATCGAGCCTTGTCTTAGAGACTGGGACCCTTACTACAAGAACGCCCGGATCCAAGACTCCTTTGGGGCGCTTTCCATCAGTAACCTTCAAAATGTCCGACTCCAACTGCACTCAGCACGTGCGTTCGTTGCCAAGCATTTGAACCTCACTTCCCCTAATAATACCCTACACCCTAAACCCTAAACCCTAAACCCTAAACCCTAAACCCCTAAACCCCTAAACCCTGAAACCCTAAACCCCTAAACCCTGAAACCCTAAACCTCACTTCGAACTAGGAGCTTCCCAAGTTATCGAATTGCTGTCAGAGAGACTCAGGGTCTGAGTGCCCCAGCCCCAAAAAGGGGTAAACCCTTTTGAAACTTTAGAAGATAAACTTTAGGGCTTCTGGGGTTTAGGGTTTAGGGTCTAGGGTTTAGGGCACCTTTTGAAACTTTAGAAGATAAACTTTAGGGCTTAGGGGGTTTAGGGTTTAGGGTTTAGGGTCTAGGGTTTAGGGTTTAGGGTTGAGGGCTTAGGGCTTAGGGTCTGCTTTTCAGCATGCGGCAACATACGTCCGGACACATCCGAATTATCGGCTGTTGCATGTGCTTTCACTTGAGCAACTACCGAAGTGGAGCTCTCGAACACCAGCATTTTGATGTTGACAGCCTGTCGCTAACAATAAGCGGACTACTCCCCAGTGTTCAAGGACCCTTAATATGATTTCTGGTCTTGGGGTATAGGGTTTAGGGTCCAGGGAGTTCTAGTCTAGGCTTTCTTCCGGTGGGAGTTTAGGCAAGCTGGGTGATGCTTGCGGCACGAGGCCTGCGGCGTTAACCTGGCTAAACCTAAACACTGACACCCTCAAATCCAAAAACCCTGAACCCCAAGCCCTGAATCCAAATTTAAGAAGGTTTCGGTGAAAAAACACAGGAACAATGCAAAACCTTACGAAACCAAATGAAACACTCTAGCACCATAAACCCTTTATCCCCTCTGAAGCCCCGTAACGCCCTATAGTTGCCCAGAGTTTCCACACAACCCTGTAAAGTTCTATAAACCCTATACATCCCAAAAGAACACTGTAGAACCCTATTCAGCCTTGTGTATAAGACCCTGTCAAACCCTATCACCCCTAGACAGCCCCATAAGACCCTGTAAACGCCCCATGAAACCCTTAAAAGCTCTGGAAAAAACATTGTAGAACCCTATATAATATCCTAAACCCTAAACCCAGAGGAATCCTACAGCCTATAAAGCCCCATAGAACATCCCAAACACTGAAACCCAAAGGAATCCGATAAGACCCCCAAGAAAAACCCTCAAGGAAGGACCCTAAACCCTAAACCCTGAACCCTAAACCCTAAACCCTAAACCATATAAACCCTCAAGGATGGGCCTGCGGAAGACCGTCCAAGGCTGCTTGCACTGGACTTTTCGAAAGGCTGCGGGAGCTCGAACTGCCAAGGAGCTTGGAGGTTCTTTTCTTCGGGGTTTAGGGTTTAGGGTTTAGGGTTTAGGGGGGTTTGTCCCGAAACCGTAAACCCTAAACTTATGGTCTAGGGCTTAAAGGGCTTGAAATTTGAGGGGTTGAGGGTCCAGAGTCTAGGGTGTAGGCTATTTGGAGGGTCGGGGGACTTAGTAAGCAGTTATTTTATGGAGTTATAAGTATCATAACCCCAATAAGGATCCGTTTTAAGGTACTTGTAAGTCTACTTATTACCCACTTACTACGTCCCCGACCCTCGAAGTATGCTCCAGGGCTTAAGGGCCTTAGAATTTGAGGGTTTGAGGGTCTAGAGTCTAGGGTTTAGGGTTGAGGGTTTGAGGGTTCAGGGTTTAGGGTCTAGGTCTCGGGTTGAGGGTTTGGGTTTATGGTTTAGGGTTTGGG